TCAATGATTTTAACTCTGCTGCCCTGTATAATCATGGTATTGTGTGATACCTCTCAGTCTGATGTTCAAATTCAAATGGTAAGTGATTACCTTATTCTACTACAAGGATTGATTCTTATCTCTTACACTCATGGTAATTAATTTAAATTTCACAGAATTAAATTAGCGAATAGCAGCCATAAAGTAAGGTCCAGATGCCTATTATCACTTCTCTTTTGCTTACAGATCTGCTTCCTCTGTTTTTCACCTAAGAAGCCAGGAGTGCAGTTAGAGCATCACTTTAACAGATTAAAGAGATAAGCAAAGGGGTGGATTTTTTAATAACATTTTAAAAATCTCCATAACAAGCCTGTTAGGCAAAGGAGAAGAGACTATAAAGCAGATATTTTGGAAGGATTATCACAAATTATTACAGGAATCACAAGCCATTCCTTTGTTAAACTAAATGTAAATTATTTTTAGGAGGATTGTTTCACATAGAAGTTCTGCAATCTGTCCTTCACCTAAAGGGTTATAAACACACACCACTCTCATATAAGACTCCTTTCCTCCTTCTGCAAGTTTACTTTTCTTTTTTTCAAGGTTTGGTGTCACTCAAGTGCAGTGTAAAATTGTGGCTATTGTTGGCCTCTTTACACACTGTTCCTAATTTAACAAACAGAGCAGTTTAGAAGGTCAAATAGGAAAACAATATCTTAAGAAAATAGCAACTTCTGTGGCTTTGAAATAATAAAAAACCAACAGTGCCAAAATGTTTATCTCCTCGGTTCATGAAGCCATAAAATAAGTACAGCACCGTGAATCACCTCAAAACTTCAAAGCCTGTATGCCCAGTGTACCATTTTAGGGCTATTAAGTTGTACAGCTACTGTACTTGTAGTAAATAGTTATACAAGTATGTAGCAGCAATGCCAAAGATTTCACCCTTGCAACAAAATTTCCTTAAAGCTACACTCTCTACCATGAGCTCACTGTATAAGCTCATAATGTTTCTTACCATCTAAAGAGATTCTGCACAAGAAAATTAGCAATGATGACAGTGCAAAGGCCAGCTTCATTTAGAAAACGCAGTACTCCAAGTATCATGTTAAATGACATACACAGTAAGTGAATAATGAAATAAGTTAATTCCTTTGGCATACCAAAACTTCTGTAGAAAAACAAAGTAATGGTTTTGCTCATCAAAGACCATGATGAAATTCCACTACACTATAAAACCTCATTCTACAAGACTTGACAGTAGTACTATAGACCCGAGATATTACAGAAACCAAGAACATAGGAAGCCATATCTGTCAGGAATATGTGATTCAGAAATGAGCAGAACATTCATTCATCTACACTGATACCTTGCCTACAAGTGACTTTTAGTGATTTGTCCCAATTAAATGATAAAAGTTTCGATTTACATGTGTATGTAAAGTCTAGCCCGTCACAATCTGTTTGCACCCACCTCACATGCAGCTGCCAGCTATTCCAGCTGGTTGGGGTAATCACAAGGCATCATCAGTGTCTTACAGAGGCCACCTGGGAGGACTTCAGCCAAAATCCATTAGATCAAGTAAAGACTAACTCCTGCAGAGCATCCTGAATTTTTTTGTATATGTTATATATTATAGGGCATTGTACAAGACTTTTGTTCATGTAATCTGCCAAACCCACTTGTATTAATGGCCAAGGTTTCAAAGGAAAATAAAACAAGCTTTTATGCACTTGGCTTATTATGAATTGCATTGTCATGAGGAAACTTGCTTATGACCTCAGATAAAAATCAAGTGGTATTTAAATATCAAAAACATTTTTAAGGTTATGCACAAGAAGCTGCCACAAGTTCACTTTTCCCCAGAAACTGGTTAACACCACCAAGATTGCAGAGGCAATTTAAGCAAGTTTGAACTAATTCTGAACTAGCTGCAATAAAGATTTAGACCTGTTCTCACCTTCCCAATCAGGGCATGTCTGCAAAGATACTTCATTTTGAAGACTGTCCTCAGTACGCATGTATGCCTATGTTATACTACACAGTCCATCAGAAATTATTTTTCATTTTGTAGTATAGCTTCACTTTTATCTAGTACATCTAATTAGATGTTTCTTCTTCCGTGTCCATCTATTTATATCACCAGAAAGACCGACTGACCAAAACAGCTACTTTAAAGCCTACACAGCCAAACAAACTCCAAACATGTCCCTGAAAGTCCTTACACTTATTTGTGAGGTGTACTTCATTGCTTTTCTGTTCTGTTGATATCGATTTCTTTCTTTCTCAGCAAGTATGCTTTCAATTCCGCCACTCATAGAGACTTTGCTCCATGCTTTCCGACAGCCAAGTGCCTGCATGTAGATAAATGGACTTGTGCACTACTTCCAAGGCTTGAGAAGTGTGCATAGGGCAGATTGGTTCATCTGCTTTTATCTACTGGTAAAAAGCGCACTCACCTTTTAGAAAAAGATGCTTCTACCCTTGATTCTGAAGCTTGAAACCTTGGTAAATTAGCTGAGAATATAGCTGAGTGGAATCCCACAATGCTGGTGCACAGAGTATTTCACCTGACAGCAAAAAAGTATCTAGTTCCTCTGTTTATGCATAAAGCATACAAAAGTCCTCTCTACCTAAGCAGTATTGCATAATTCCTAGTAATAACTGAATATTCAAAGGCAACATACTATCAAGGCAAAAAATATGATTTATATTGTCAGACACATTTCCCATAATGTACATTTATTGCTAGTATTTTCCAACAGAAGGAAAATTTGGCAAGCAGCCCAAGCAAAGGTGATCAGTACTTTTAAAATTTACTATGAGCAACTAAGAACACTAAACCTTTTCTAGGGACCAAATTAGAAATTAAAAAAAAAAAAAAAGAATAAGCAATTAGGCCTGAATTCTTTTTAATCAACTTTCTAAAACACTTTGATTTTGTTTGTGCATGCTGTTCTCCAGGCCACATCACCAAGAACCAGCTAGATGTCCAGCACTTTGAGAATTCCCAAACAATATATATTCTATCTCTCCTGCTTTCTCCAATAGACTTTCCTTCGGTATAATTGTTTTTACAGTGCCTAATAGATCAAACTTGGAAGGGATTTTTAGCTTCTTTTTAGCCAAAGTTCAACAATTTTATATCAAACCTCTCCTGCCAGAGTACTTGCTAATGCATATACATAGAGTCATTTGTCTTGGTTTCTCCTCAGGAGCTATTTTGACAATTAACAGACACATTTATTAAAATGTAAAATACATTGGATATACACAAATAGTTGATAACCTCATACATTTGAGTTTCTGATGTCAGACGCTTCCTTAGAAAATAAAGAATATATTTGGTAAACCCATCAGTTTTCTGATGCTCACCAGTTCTAATCACCTTGTGACAAGCAGCTTTGGAAAGATTTCTGAATATAAAACATATTTGAGTTTTCTGCCAGTGGTACTAAACACATTTTCATTAATAACATTCACTATCAAAATCAAAAGTTATGGAAGCCAAATGTTTTCAGTTGGACTACATAATGAATTTAGAATGTGGAATATTCCTGTTGAGTGTAAATTAATGGATTTTAACAGACTTCGACTAATTATAGCTCCAAAATCAGTAGAAAAGTGTTTTGAATTTAGCTGTTTTGATAGTGAGTATCTTTAACACTATAGACATAGGTTCATTTTTCAAAAGCATTTTGTAAAGGCATGATCCAAACCACACCTAAATTAATAGCAGAACCTGCCCCTGACTTGAGCAGACTGTGGATCAGGCCTTAACCACTGTGACTTTGTCAAGAATAAAATTCTCAGGTGATTTCTTATAAGATACGATGAGAAATGAAACACACACAGGTTCTCATTGATCATAGCTGGAGCCCATAAAGTGACATGTGAAATGTGGTTAAAAAGCAACCCATGAGGATTGGAAAAGACTCAGATTTTATGGGTTATTGATTTACCAGGAACAGTCTTGCCAAGTTTAAATGAAGGAAAACAAAATATGGCATAACAGGGGTGCAATTCAGTTGAGCTAATGCCCTATGTGAGTGAGAGCTGTGGTAGTCTTCTTTAACATCCCTTCATAAAGCAGCTGCATAATTTTAATGAAATAAATGGCTACAGTAAAAACTTTAGAGATCAGAACCCCAGTAAATTATGAAGTATAAATTACCATGCTTGCCAGTATCTTTCCCAAGCTAAACATACATCATGTGTAATAATTTCTAATAAACATTTACATCTTATGAAAAGTAGTCTTGTAACTGAAATTTTAACAGGCAATGACCTTTAATTACAAAACTACTCTCTCATTTCATTGATACAAATTAATTAAACCATGTGAATGAATATATAGCATACATTCAACCAAAAATGTTACCTACTTCCCACAATTCTGCAATTCCCTTCCAGAAAAGAGAGGCCATAGCTCAGCAACCATGATGCACCAAAATGATAAAGATAAAAACATGCAGTTCCAGTAGGAAAAAAATTTATACAAAACCTGCTATTCTGGATCTGCTTATCAGACCCAAAATTCATGAAAGATCTGTTATTTAAGGTCAAAAATATAAATTGGAAATTAAATAAGTAATACTAATGCTTATGGGCCTACGATTAATACTGAATTTATGGCTTACATTACAGATATGAGAGTAACCCATTTCTCAATAGGGTTCAAACTAGTTAACATAATTTGATTACATCAAATTGATTAGATTTGGCTTTAATAATTTCTTTTTACCTTTAATTTTCTGCATTTTATCTGACATTTTTAAAAAAAGGTTTTGCAATCAAAAAGGCTGCCCAACATTCTTTAGTGTGGGAAGATATCTTTTCTTGACTAAATTTTTCTTAAAAAATCACTTACAAACTGTATAACATAAAATTCGATTTATATTTTTTGGATGTATGTATACTTAAGTGAACAATTTGCATTAAATAAGAATAGGTAGTGTGAAAACCAGTGTGCCTTTTTTTTTCTATTGTTTTGTCTTGCAGAGGCTTTTTTTTTCCTTACCTGGAACTCTCTTTGCCCAGTTGATCATGTGCACTAATTCTCTGTCTGCAAGGTTGGTCAACAGGGTCATCATAGAGGCTTCATTGAATGGTCTGTTTGGGTCATATTCAGAATAAACTATGGGTGGCTCAGCTTCCAGCAAGGCACTGACCATCTGTTCTGCTGTCAGGGATAGGGCTGGACTGTTCTTCTTGTTATGTTTAACCACCAGTGGACTTGTCCAAAGGGTGGGAGCTCGCAGCTCTGTTGAAGAAGCCTCCCCATTCCTGGAATCCTGCTCCTCTCTTTGACGTTTTTGTTTCATCACTCGCCCACCTCTGCGGTCTTTCCGGATTCCTAGAGACACAGGAAAATATAATTAACTCCTTTCCTTGAACTTATGTATTACGTACATTTGGCTTCAGTCAACAGCAGCTGCTGTTGATGGACCCAGGCAGCATTGACTCCTGCTTTATTTTCTGCAGTCGTCTTCCTATATATGGAATGTTACACCAGTAGCTGGAGAGAAAAACTATTTCAACAAGTGTAGTGTTGAGAATAGTGCACTTCTTCCTAAAATTCAGATCAACTGGGCTTACACAGAACTCTAGACTAGTGACACTGTACAGCTGGCTGAGCCCCACAAAAGGAAGTTGAGAATTGGGAATAAATAAATATTCCTTTACAGCTCAAAACGTTAAAGTGCATCCCAGCCTCTAGCAGATAACTATTCTATGAATGATCAATGACAAATTAATGATGTTTGTGGGCCAGATGGATCACAGAAATAGCTCTCAGAAACTATCCAAAAAAGCTTTGCTCAAGGTCATCAATTATTTTAATCAAACATCATCCTATTACTGAGCCTGTGGTCTTCATAATTATATTAAAAAATCATCAAAAACATTCCCATTATAAGATGAGCTTATACAGTAATAAAGAATTCCATATAAGTATATAACCAGAAGTAAAATAAGTAGAGACAATTGCAACCTCAGTATCTAACGTGGGAAACCTATTGTCAAAAGGCTGAAATAACCACAACAGAAACTGTCTTTGTCATTACTGCACATCTCTGCAATGTGCTTAGCACTGTATGACCCTGAACCCTGGGATATTATCAAGTCAGCCATACCAATTCAACAAAGAACATAGGACCTTAGAGTGGAACTAAATCTCCCTTTGTGGAAAGGTTACAAGAAAAATATAGTGATAAAGCCCACGTGGACTCCAACCATAAAGGGGAAGATTAAGTTTGGCTCTGAGTGGAGGAGTAACAGGAATTTTGAGACTGAGTTAAAAACTTAAATCCATCATCAAGTGGAGGCAAGGGAGGACAACCAAGTAATAAGAAAAGCACACAAGGAATTGCGCTATGAGGAGAAGGAACTTATGATGGGGCTTATTTTGGAGTTCTCATGCAATATGGAAAAGCAACAGTACTCCCAGCTTTAAAAACAAAAGAGAGAAAGAAAGAGGCAAACCATAAAAGAAATAGAGAAGAGAGAATATTTAAAGCCAAACCAAACCAAACAATAGAAAAACCCAGGTTGAGAGCTGCTGACTCATGCAATCAGTACAGGTCTTGCTGATGGTTGGGGAGAGGGAAACATAACCTTTGCTTATCTCTTTTCACACCACTAAAATTTAAACTTTTAGAATCCCAGTCTTTTAGCAGCATTTTCATCTCACATGCAATATGCCTTCATATATATGTTGGATTGTATCAGAACACAGAGAATCTTTAGATCTGTTTGCCTCTTTCTTCAAATATGGAGAGATTTTCACCGAATTAGTACTTGAAGATGAAGAATTTTATGTCTAATTCATTCAAAATCTAGCAGGCATCCTGATTCTATTCCATTAATCTTTTCAGATAAAGCGAGTTCAATAAATCTCTCATCACTCCTACTTAACCTCTCTACATTTTCCCATTCACTAAACTATTTGTAAACCAAAAGTCTTAAGTGCATTGCTGCTCCCATTTTTCATTCAGCAATATCAGTCTTTCCTACCACTAAACAGTTTCTGTTATGGAGAGGAGGGGAAGATTCTTGCTATTAAGAAATAATGCAAGACTTACTTTGGCAAAAAGTCATCCTAGAGCTATTCTCATTGGTAGCTTATTTCCTTGCAATACTTAATAGCATTCATGCTCTATCTGTAACAGATATTTTTGTAGTATCAATGCAATGTTCTAGAATTAAAATTGCCCTGTGAAAGATGTAGACATAATCATGTGAGTAAAAACACATGGTTCATAGAAACTAAAGATCTGTTAACTTTCTCACATCCCAAATTCTACGCTGCTCATCTAGCAATTTCCTTTAGGAGAGTTAAAACTATCTTTAGGGCCCGTGCTGTTCGACATGCTCATAAACAGATGGACTCAGAACTGACATAATTCAGAAACAAGAACTTGGGGTTAGAATAATACTATAAAAACATCAGATAAGTTACTTTAGAAAGTAAATAGAAGGCTAGAAATTACTAGGAGAGGAAGGGAGGACAGAACAACTTCATAAATCAGAGATTTTATTAACTCATGAGGCACACTGCAGTGAACACTGAATGCAGTACTGTTCTTCCCAAATTAAAAAGAGATATAAAACAAATGAAAAGGGGATAAGAAAAAGACAAATAAGATGATTTGAAGCGGGGATAAGAAAAAGACAAATAAGATGAAGTGCAAAACTACTTTGTTGTGAGAAATAGCTGAATTGACTATGTCTGCTTGGCCTACAAGCCAGATACAAGACTAGAAAGTCAGGAGCAGCAAGAAGACACCTAAGGTACAAATCACTAATGCTTCTCTTCTAATACAAAATGGTATCAAATGAAAATACCCCATGCAAGGTTCAGGACAGACAAGAAGAGGTTCTCTTTCACGCCATGCAGAAACTATACAGTTAAAAAGCTCTAGACCAAATTGGATGGAGAACAGAATCCATTAAGGGTTAATAAATATAAATAGGGCACCTTTGGTATAAGTCTCCATGGCATAGATCAAAACTCAGGAAGAGTTTTCTTGGTTTTGCTTTTCACTTAGTTCAGACCTGCCTTTTTAAGTAGAACAAGGATTTGATGAGGGAGGTGGCAAACATAAGCACATTTTGCTCTTTGCTAATCAACTAAATGCTAAATAAGAATGCTAGTTTTCTTTTTCGTTCATCTGCAAGCTTACCACTGGTTTTCCTTCACCATAGAAAAACCAGTGGTGTATTGAGCAAAGATTAATATAACCAGTTTGGAGAAGATGCCCCACACAAATTTATTTTTTGCATTTTTATTTTGGGACTTAAAAAAATCAACTAACCAGTCATAGTAAGACTACACTGGATTCTGTAGAGACTGAATTTGAAAAAAAACAAGTCAGTAAAGAGTATGCATCCCTTCTGCATCACATCAGCAGCTTTGATGTTCACATACAGAAAGGTCTCTGAATCATAGTCATCAAAGTCTTACAGAAATTACCACTAACTCTTTACCTAATGCCTACATGAACAAGCAGCATAGTGATTTTATTATTCATTTTCTTGGACTAAATAGGAGTGAGTTAGTATCTCTCTGAAAAATGCAACTACCTCCAAATCTCCTTCAACTTAATCAAATTTTATCTCAGTTAAAAAGAGATAATAGTGATGCACAGTCACTAATTCCAAAAAAAGCAACTCTTTCAAGCACCAATTTCATTGCCAAGCATTCAATGATCCTGTAAGACTTTCTTAAATATATGAATGCATTAATTTTGATTCAACAGCTCAGGCAATAAAAGAACCCGAATTGCAAAATGTTCTGAAAAACAATATTCTACCAAAAATGGAAGTACTATGTATCTTGAAAAAGCTCTAAAACAATTTTTACTTGAGTTCTGAGGCTACAAGAGCCAAGATTTTCAGAGACAGATTTATAAAGCTTCATATGTAAATTCAGTCAGACTTTTAGATATGGAAACAGGTTTCAAAACTGCTCTTTATATAATCCAATCAGTAGAACATGATCAGCAATAAAATTGCATATGGACAATAAAATGACATATGCCATTCCCATGGCAGGAGAGTTGAAACTAGATGATCTTCAACGTCTATTTCAACTCAAACCATTCTATGATTCTTTGGCTGTGGAGGCAATGGTAACCAAATGAAACACTTCATCAGTATTTTCCCACATGTCATTAAAACAAAACAAACCACAAATTCCAGGTAGTTAAAACAAAAAAAAATTCCTAAGTTAGGAATGCATTGGATGAACACTAAATCTCAGCCAACCAACAGCTAGTTTTTTCCTACCTACTGAAAATAACAAAACTCCACCTATATATCTTCAGTATTATATAAAATATTCAAGAATATTTAGAGGAAGAAGAAAAGGAGACCACATAGAATAAAATTTGTTTGGCTCTGTGTGAACCATAGAATTATGCATTTTATGTTTAAAGGTATATCTATAATCTCAAATGCTATTCTAGTTAAATATACTCCCTATGAGCTGTTTTATATAATACTCTTCAAGTTCTTCATTATTATAAATTTTGCAGGAGTATTTGTCAAGTAAAGAATGTTTATTGGTACAATAAATGGGAACAAATTTGAGAAAACCCAATAATCTTTACTGGGCATTAAGACTGGAAAAAAATTGGCTATTTGATAATACTGAAAAGACAAGATTTTATGTCCTTCCTCTTGTTCACTATTCTGGAAATCCTAAACACAACAGATATTGGCTTTGTGCTGCTTGCAACACTCACCTGCTATCTGAAATAACTATGGTGTTATTTTCATTAACAAGGTACAAAAAATGCAAAAGACCTTCATCTTCTCTTCCCCCATACAATTCACTCTGCTTGTTCACACAAGAGGTGGGTATTGATATGGAAACGGTATCTGCCTCTCCTTGTAAAGCCTATTCACTTGTAGCCTATTTATTAACTCATCTCTTCATGCTCCATCTTGTTTTTGATGAAGTTCTGAACAGCTTTCCAATAGCTGCAAGCAAAATCCATAATAATGTTATTTTCTAAAAATGGCATCTTTCTTTGAAGTTTAAAACTTTCAGGTGACTTGTTTAACCTTGTCTTGTTTACCCGCAAATGCAGATCTCCTCCCCACCACCAAAACATTCCTTGGTATTTTTTTAATGAAACCTTCAAAAAGTCTTTAGAGGCCTAGGATTTTAACCGTCTTTAAGTATGTAGATTCTCAGCAAATCATTTTTTTACTACATGTATCAGTGGTAATCAACCACTGAGAAAGCTCCAGGGACTGTACATGGGGAGCCCAGCCTCATGAGCACAGCTCTCCTTGATCTGGGAACTCCTGGATCACCTCACAACAGGTGAGATGTCAGACCTCAGCAAT